CCTCCCCCCCCCAACGTTTTCCGGCACGTGTGGCTGGGACCTCAGTCTGGCAACCCTACACCCCCCATCCCCAACAGTGGCCGGGGGAACCTGGCAACCCTCGGATTTCTTTGAAAATGGTTCAAAACTGGACACTGGTAAGCTTATGGGTGGGGGGTGTTGTGTGTTATTCATCAGGAACACCACCTGGTACTTGTAGTTATGGCCATACCAAAATATTCACAAGCCTACATCAGCACATCACCGGGAGCTACTTCCCGCTTTCCCCAAGTACAAAAACTTGCAGCTCTACAATACCACTGTCTTGTCCCCAAAAGGATCTCATCTGTGCCTTGAATCCAAAAACGGTGTTCTGACAAAGAACGAGTACAAAAAAGCCCATTTGTTTTTCCATTAACCAATACCCCCTGAATGCAGACACACAAGGCAGCGGCTTGAATAGTCTCTAAAACACCTCCTCATTCTACTCTAATTGCTTTAAGCTGTCCCCCCCCACACACACACACACTCCATCCCAGAGCTGTTCAGGCCTTCTTCTTTTTTAAAAACAAAAAATGAAAATAGAAAACACATGTTCCATTTTCCATATAGTTAAAAAAAACAGCCATCTTAATAAGTCGCCTATTTGACAATTTGTTTGGCAACATATGGGAGACACTTGTAAATTCCCCTCTTAATAACAAATAACAGATGGCAAAATACAAGTCTGGGAACACAAGCGTTTTTTGGGGGGGCTTTTGTGTGTGTGTGTAAACGGGACGTGGCCGCGTCCGCCGTGCTGAGCACCCACGCAATGAGGGCCTCCAGCTCAGTGCCTTGGCTTTGCAGGTATTATCTGGCCTGCTTTAGATGGCAGCTATTTGGAAGGGAGAAAAGACGGGGGGGGGGGAGACTCAAGGAAGAGGGGGGGGGTGGGGAGACTCAAGCAATTTTCTGGTTTATACACATAGCTGCTCTTTTCCTTTTGATTGATTGAGCCCAGTTGTCAAGCATTTCCGTAAAGTCGTTGAAAAGAAAGGTCCCCTGGTGGGCATTGAAAGAACCTGATGCAAAACTTCTAATATGTTTTATTGCAACTTGTTCTTCAAAAAAAAAAAATTTAAAAAGAAAAAGAAAAGGGGGGGGGGTTGGAAGGACAAGGAAAGCCAAGCGAATGTGCATTTACTTTGATAATCACATAAGCCATTCAGGTGGGACAAGTTTCTCTCTTGAAAGTGGGTTACAATTAACATCTAGATAATTACGGGGCATTTTTTTAAGAAAAAAGGAGGGGTGTCCTCCCACCCCAAAGACGACAGAGCAGAAGCCCTCCCGCAGGGGCGGCTGTAATTGCCACCGTGAAGAGATTGTGTGGAGTGAAATCCAAAGTGCCCTTTAAGGTTAGAAAATTAAAGGGTCCTTGCAAAGAAAGAAGGGGGAAGAAAAACCGCACGTTTGCATCAGCAGAGCGGAGAGGGGGAAATGGGTGGCTTTTGAAGGCCCTCTCTGGGTCTCTCCTCAAGCAAGCCCGCGAGAGGCTGCAGCGCTTTGTCCCAGCAGCTCTGGAATGGTTTCATGGTGCCCCCATCCTGGGCAAAGACCTGCAGCCTGCCTGCCCTGTGGCAGGGCTGCCAGGACTGGGGGGGGCTTGGGGGGGAGAGGGGAGAGACCTCAGCAGGGGACAAGGCCACACAGGCCACCCTCCAAAGCAGCCGTGTTCTCCAGGGGAGCCGACCTCTGCTGTCTGGAGAGCAATGGTAATAGCCGGAAACCTCCAGGCCCCAACTGGAGGTTGGCAACCCTATCCTGTGGCAACCCGGCAGTTGATTGAGTCCTGGTTCACACAAGGCAGGAGAATGAGGTGACCCAGCCTTGGTGGGTCCCAGCTGTCAGCATTCCTTGGTACACAATAACTCCCTGCAGACAGAACAGTATAGCACTCTGGGGAGACACGGTCTGCCTCCCTGCCTTGTCAAGCCATAGCTGACTTCTGATGCCCCCCCCCCGGTTTTCAAAGCCAGAGATGTTCAGAGGCGGTTTGCAGTTGCCTCCTTCTGTATAGCAACCCTGGACTTCCTTGGAGGTCTCCCATCCAAGTACCAACCAGGGCAGACCCAGCTTAGCTTCTGAGATCCGACAAGATCTGGGCAAGCCTGGCAGATCCAGGTCAAGGCAGGAAGGCTCTGCACCCTCCCTTTGCTTGCGGTGCAAAGTGAGATCCTCCACGATCCTCCCCCCACGCAGTCTGAAACCGTGGTGACGGTCTCAGCATTTTACCACCTCATTCTCCTGAGGACTGCACTACCTCAAGCTGCAGGCGTAGGGGAGGGAAGGATCTAATATTTTAATGCTCTCCAATGCGTAAAATTCCATGCAAGTACAAAACTGGTGCATGGGATGAATGGGGGCGTTGGGACAGCCTTGAAGTAAGCTCAGCCAAGTGGCCGCTGGGATGCCGCCAGCACTGCTGAGGCCCCCCTGGCTCAGTTTCCCCATGGCTATCTGTGGCCCTCCCGGGCAACTGTCCACCAGCAGGGATTTCCCAAGGAACTTGACAGGCCAGTCCACGGCCTGCTAGCACAGTAAGACTCTGACCACCTGCTGTTTGGTTGCTGGGTCCGTCCCGTTGGAAGTTCCTTGGTGAAACCGGATTTGCAGACTTGTGGGGCCTGATTCAGATCAGACCTGGGGCTGCCAGCCTCCAGGCGGGGCCTGGGGATCCAGAATTACAACTGATCTCTGGGCTAAAGAGATCCGTTCCCTTGGAGAAAATGGCTGCTTCAGAGGGTAGAATCATATCCCTACTAAGCCCCTTCCCCTCCCAAACCCTGCCCTCCAGTGCTCCCTCTAAGCTGAGTTGGTGTGGGCTAGCTCACAGTTTTTTAGCCTCCGGCTCACACATTTTTGTCTTTGCTCAGGAAGGAGGGCTCCGGAGCAGACTAATCTATGCAGTAGCCACATCGCTCGCTCACAGCTTTCATGCCAGCAGTGCACAGGGTAGGATTTTTGCTCACAGGACCCCACAGCCTAGAAGGAGCCTTGGCTGCCCTCCCCAGTCTCCACTCCCCAATCTCCAGGAATTTCCCAACCCAGAGGTGGCATCCCTACATCACATCCCCCTGGACCTCCTTCCCCTGCCCAGATTCAACCTCCAGATCTTCCAGAACTCTTTGAACTTGGGGGGAGCGTTCAAAAACGGTATCCCTCGCCTGTTACATGTGCAGACAAGACTTGGCACTTCACCTCCTCCCCCGGGCACAAGGGGTAGCCGTTCTCGCCTGCTGGAGGTTCTCACTCTGCTGAAGTGCCAGCTATCAAACACAGCCAGATTCTCTGTGCCACTGCAACCAGCGCAACCCACAACTTTTGTGGAACACCAACCGACAAACATCAAGCACAACTGAAATGCAAAGGCAGTGTTCACACGGGCGAGATAATGCGGGGGGGGGGGGAAGTGAGGCTATTTGCTCCGCAGGAATTTGACCCACATTTGCACGATCACACAGTCCCTGGAAGCTGCGGGGGCAGCCCACCACTGCGTGATCAGACACAACCGTGGGCAGTATTCCCTCTAAGCTGAGTGAGTGTGAGCTAGCTCACAGTTTTTTAGCCTCCAGCTCACACATTTTTGTCTTAGCTCAGGAAGGACGGCTCCAGAGCAAACTAGTTTATGCAGTAGCCAAATCACTCGCTCAGAACTTTAATGCCAGGAGCTCACAAAGTAGAATTTTTTGCTGACAAGACTCCACAGCTTAGAGGGAGCATTGACTGTGGGTGAGTCGGGTTGTGTTTTTTTGGCCGCGTGTTTCCGGTGCGCTTCAATCAATCGACGATTCGCGTCTCCGCACTGAGTGCTCCCTATGCAGTGTGCGATGATGTGCATACCGAAAGGGGGGGGGGGACAACGACATGGAGTAAGGATGGCCCGATCAGACCATCCCAATGCCATGGAAGCGTGCTGGCGCAATCACACTGGGGAAAGTCCGTTCCTGGCCCGTAGCAAGCCCATTTGCTGCTGGGTTTTCCCCAGTGTCTTTTTACTCCGCGTCTGCAGCAGAGCAAAACGGGTTGCCGACGGGAGCGGGACACTTGGCAGATGTTGGCGTCTGATCGCGCCCTTAAAATCCGCCCGGCATTCGCACCTATGGCGTGGCTAATTTTGCATGTGATCGCGCCCAAAGAGCCAGCGTGGTGTCGGGGTTAAGAGTGTCAGACTAGTATCTGGGAGACCCGGGTTCGAATCCCCACTCATGCTGTGGAAGCTTGCTGGGTGACCTTGGGCCAATCGGTCACACACTATCCACCTAACCTACCTCCCAGGGTTGTTGTGAGGATAAAAGGGAGGAGAGGAGAATGACATAAGCTGCCTTGGGTCCCCATTGGGGAGGAAGGCAGGAGCATAAATGAAACAAAACGGAATAATAAACAAATATCATCAGAGGGGCTGGATGCCTCAGACCAGAAACAAAAGAGACTCCCAGTCATGGATCTTTCCCGCTTGCCTCTGTTCACAACAGCCCTGTGTGATCTCCTGAAAGGTGGTGCTGGGAGCCACAGGATTCCTGTAGACACCGGAGGCTGTGGTGAAGAAGGGGAATCTGCCGGCGTGGTACGATTTCCCTCCTGTCCGTATGGAACTTCAGGCATGAGAGGAAAGAGCACTGCGAGGCCATTCCATCCCCTTCCACCTGTTCGCCACAGTCTCTTGTACCTGTGGCTCTGCGCATCACCTTCTCAGAGGTCCCAGGAGGCTGCTGATGGAGGTGAGAAATATCTGCACAAACATCCTCTTGTTCATAGGATCCAGACCCAGGTCAAAGGTAGACCACGGAGACGAATCTTCTGCAGATCTGGATCTCGAACAGTTTGCTTGGGGGAGAATTTTCAGAAGCAAGTTCCTCTCCTCTCCAGAAGTGGCCCTTTCCCTGAGAGGGATCCGCAGAGCAGGGGGAGTTCGGAGGACTGTCAGGAAAGTACACGCGGCAGTCCTGGCATCAGGAAGGAGGGAAGGATACCGGTACCTTGGCGTACTCCATCAGGTCACTCCGCCCTCGGAAGCGGCTGTAGAATTCCGGCAATCGCCAGGGAGCAATGACCTACAGAGAGGGTGGGAAAGAATTGGTTGGTGTGACACATACGGAGCTGCCTTACAGCGAGACAAACCTCTGGCAGGGCTGGCTGAGTGCTGCCTTTTCTGTCTGGTGGTGGCTCTCCAGGGTCTCCTGCAGAGAAAGGGCCTAACTGGGGATGTCAGAAACTGAACCTGGACGTTTCTGCATGCCAAGCAAGTGCTCTGCCTATAAATAAATCTGCCGTGGCAGTTGTTGCTGTGGACAGGGCATGGGGAAGAAGGAGCAGCAGCAGCAGCTTCCCAGCTCTGACAGAAGCCACAAATCTGCCACGGCAGTTGTTGCTGTGGACAGGGCACGGGGAAGAAGCAGCAGCAGCAGCAGCAGCAGCAGCTTCCCAGCTCTGACACAAACCCCATGGGTTTGGGGGAAGTCTACAGCATGTCTATGCAGCAACCCTGAAGATGTTTAATACCAGTTTAATAATGTGATCCCATGCAGAGTTATACCCTTCTAAGTGCACTGAAGTTAGGGTTGCTAACTTCCGGGTGGGGCTGGGGGATCTCCTGGAAGGACAGCTGATCTCCAGACGAGAGAGATCTGTTCCCCTGGAGAAAAAATGGCCGCTTTACATCCAGGGGCTCTATGGCAAGCAAGCACAGGGGTTTAGAAGGGTGTGACTCTCTTTAGGAGTACTGTGGTTTGCCCCGAAAGAATCCTGGGAAATGTCGTCTCACCCAGATTCTGAGGTTTTGACAGGTGTGATTGACAACTGACTGCCATAGGGGGGAGGGGCGTGTGACTCAGATCTGGGCCACGCTGGCATGGGAGGGTTGCCGCATTCCCCCGTGCCGTTGTTCCCCCTTCGGATCCCCATGCCAAGATCCTTTTCGCCCTCTTGGGGGAAACTGACAGGAGACCTGTGATGTGGTTCCCCCACAGCGGGCCAAAGTGCAGCCTCGCAGGGTGATAGAAGACGAGGAAAGCAGCCCAGGAGGAGGAAGGGTCAAGGCCCCTCCCTGCCCCTACCCCTGCCCCAGTACCCCATCCCAGTCTGAACGGAGGGCTCCCGCCGCAGCCGTTTACCAATACAAACCATGCAGGAGGTCTGCCCAGTTCACAAGTTACAACGTCTCCGTGGCCGCTTGATGTTCCCTGCTTAGAATTCTCGACTCAGACGAGGGCTGTGGTGCACCAGGAGAAGGCGCTTGAGTCTCCCCTCTCCCCTCGCAGCATTTCCCCAGCCTGAAGTACCCCTGGGAGCCACTCTTTGCTCCAGAAGGGAAACTTCCAGTGTGGTTCGTCAGTGCACACAAGCATTCCCAGAAGGGCAAGTGCTGGCTCCCTGAGGTCATTTCAGGTCACGGGGGGAGAAGTCTGGAGAGCCAGTTTGGTGTCGTGGTTAAGTGCGCGGACTCTCATCTGGGAGAACGGGGTTTCATTCCCCACTCCTCCACGTGCATCTGCTGGTGTGACCTTGGGTCAGTTACAAGTTCTTTCAGAGCTGTTCCCTCACGAGCAGCTCTCCCAGAGCTCTCTCAGCCCCACCTACCACACAGGGTGTCTGTTGTGGGGAGGGGAAGGGAAAGGAGATTGTAAGCTGCTCTGAGACTCCTTCGGGTAGTGAAGGGTGGGCTAGAAATCCAATCTCTTCCTCATCTTCCTAACCTCCCCACACCTCCCCCTGTGCCCCATGGTTCTGATCTGAGCCTGGGAATCAGTTTTCAAGCAAGGACCTCCTGTCAACAAGACCAGGGCAGACATCTGGGGACAGACAGCCTTTGCAAGGCGTGAACTGGTTCAACAGCGCTGTGCATCGGGTTGCCAGCATCCAGGTGGGGGCTGGAGCTCTCCTGGGATTACAACCGACCCCCAGACGACAGAGATCAGCCCTCCTGGAGGAAATGGTGGCTTCAGAGGGCAAGGTCTATGGTACACCATGCAGTCTAGAGAAGCAGAAGTCCCTCTCTAGGTTTGGCCCCCAAAGCTCCAGGAATTTCCCAAGCCAGAGTTGACAAGCCCAGCGGTTCACCCGCCGCCCCAGACTGGCTGGGGCTCTGAGCTCCTGGGATCGTACTGAGGGAGGCACACCTCATCCGGACCATCACAACGCCCTTGTGGAGTGGCCAGGCTCAGGGCGAAGGTTCCAGATCCTTGACACATGGCTGAGCAGGGTGTTTGAACATCTCTCCCGTGCACAACACTCTAACCGCTACACACACATACACACACACACACACGACATTATAGCTTTTCTCCAAACAAAAAGCTGGAGTCAGTCTGACAGCAAGAAGCACCAAGCCTTAAGCATCCATCCGTCATCCTTTTAATCCCCCCCAAACAAAGGTAATCCAAGATCCTCCTCCTGGCTGCACAACCTGCCTCGAGGAAGGGATGATCAGGGGAGGGGTGGAGACGGGGTCGGCTTACCCTCCGCAGCCACTCCTCAGGGGTGCCTTGCTCTAGGCATCTGCATTATTGACATAGGGCAATACCAGAATCGATAGACGCGCCCAGACCAATGCTGGAAATAAGCGGAACATTTGGGTGCCCCTTCAGAAGGCAACGGTGGGGGGCCAAGGAGGAGCCCATCTCATGATGGCAGGCTTTCCGCAGCCCACCCTGGATGCGCACAGACAAGCGTCGAAGGCACTTTGCACATGCTCCAAGGCCTCCACTGTGACCAAGGCAGTGGGAAATGAAGCGAAGGGACTGAGAGGGCAGGCTGCAACGGTGGGATAAATTTCAGAAACTCTTTTACGGGATGGTTTAAGAGACGAGATAAAAAAGGGAAAAGGGAAAGAAACCTGAACCTGAAACCTAGAATTCAGAACCTGCTTTTAACTTAAGGAATATTTCATTGGGAACATTTGGCTATACAATCTCAGGAGAATATATATAGTTGACCAGAGAGAAGTACTACTGGACATGTGATTGCACTGGAGGTTTCATTTGTATTTTTGCTCAGTGGTTAAACTTTGGAACAATTGTTTTCTGGTCTTTACTTCATAGTTTGTATATGTTTGATTGTATATATATATTTACATATTAGCCAATATGTTCTATTTGCATTAGACCTCTGAGGAAGGCCTGTGAAGGCCGAAACGCGTTAGGTCTATTTTATCAGCCTTTGTATTTTTATATTTGTATATGAGGTATGAATGGGCCCTTATTTGTGATTTTAATTTGTGTTTAATAAATACATGTATATTTTTGTATGTTTCATAATTAGATTTTTAGAGTTGGCCCTCTTCTATTCTTGACTAACCTTTTTAGGTTCTGAATTAAGAGATGAGATAGCCTTCTGCACGGCAACTAGCAAGGGGGGCACACCCAGCTGCCCAGCACCATACCCAGTGCCACAGGCTATCAGTGCAGCTGCAGAACATCTGGATGGATTGCAACTCAAAGTCTCTATAGAAGTAATTGAAATCTGCCGTTGACAATGCAATTCTAAAGAGGGTCACTCCAGTCTTAGCCTGTTCATTTCAGTTGGTTCAGACTGGAATCACTCTGCACAGGACTGCACTGTTAAGCTACAATTTCTACCCCAATGGGGGAGACCAGGGTTCCGATCTCTGCTCAGACATGTGAGGAGATGGCTATTAGCCACAAGGTATAGATAGGGACTCTGGGGCAAGTGATGCTCTGTCATCTTGGTGCTTTGGGGGGTCAACAGTGGGAGGGCTTCTAATGTCCTGGCCCCACTGGTGGACCTCCTGATGGCACTGGTATTTCTGGCCACTGTGTGATACAGAGTGTTGGACTGGATGGGCCTTTGGCCTGATCCAACATTGGCATCTCTTATGTTCTTATGTTCTTATGAGATCTTCAGTCAGTCACCTTCCTTCTCAGCCTAACCTACCTCTCAGGGTTGTCGTGAGGATAAAAATGGGGGGGGGGAGAAACATGTATGTTTCCATGAGCTCCTGGGAGGAAGGCCGGGACGCAAATGAAACCAAACCAACCACCTTGCTCACAGAGTCTTTGACACATGCTGAATTTAACCAGTGGGTGTTACGCAACCCCTGGTGTTGAAGAGGCCAGGTGAGTGTGCTGCCTGGGAAGAGGAGCAAAGCATCCTCATCACTAGCTGCCTAGCTTGAACCATGAGCTAAGTTCTGCCCTGACCCGGATAGCGCAGGGTAGCCAGATCTCATCAGTTCTCAGAAGCTAAGCAGGGCCGGCCCTGGTTAGTGCTCGGATGGGAGACCAACGAGGAAGTCTACGGCTGCCAGGCAGAGGCAGGCCCTGGCGAACCACCTCTGCTCCTCTCTTGTCTTGAAAACCCCTTAAGTCAGCTACAAGTGGACAACACTTCCCAGTACCAGCAGTCACGTTTTGGAGGAGCGGAACCTGGGGCGGAGCAAACAACATGAAGCAATCGAATCCCTCTGCCTATCTCTCAGTCTTTCCCCCCTCAATATTGAACTCTCAAAGGCTCTGGTCTGTGCTCATGACCCCCCCAAGACAAAAGGAGGCTGCCAAATTCCACAATTCAGCAAGCTCTGCCCTGAGGAGGACTGAACCTTGCTACTACCTGGTGCTAGAGAGGGGCCTTTTCAAGAACTGCACTTTTCAAATCCAGTGACATCATAGGTGTCCCTGATTAACAGGTCTTAAACGTGGTCCTTTGCTTGATAGAAGTACCTATGAAAGGTCATCCCTGAAGAAGCATTCCCAATTCCTCTTCCACATGGGAGGGAAGGCCTCTTGTAAAATACTACTTTACACAGAGAGTGATTAAAATGTGGAATTCGCTGCCAGAGGATGTAGTGATGGCCACAGGAATAAACAGCTTGAAAGGAGGATTAGATTCATGGAGGATAAGTCTATCTGTGGCTACCAGACATGGTGACCGAGGGGAACCTCCACATTCAGAGGCACTAAACCTTTGAATCCCGGAGCCAGGAGGCAACTTCAGGGGAAAGCCTGGGCCTCTCTTGCCCTGTTCCGGGCCCTCCAGAGGAACTGGCTGGCCACTGTGTGAGACAGGATGCTGGACTAGATGGACCACTGGTCTGATCCAGCAGGGCTCTTCTAATGTTCTTATGGCCTTAGCTGATATGACACATCCAGGCATCACAGAAAAACAAAGCAGGCTCTTTACTTACGAAGTGTTTCGATGCCCGTGCAAACAGGTGCAAATTTAATCTTATCAATTTAATAATTCATTCTTTTGGATTAACTAACTGACGTTCCTAGGAACAGTCAATGGCACTTGGCAGAAATAAGTAAATGAATAAAGGGTGATAAGAATGCAGCCTATATCGGTCCTTACCTTGATCTGCGGGCAAAGGGCATAATAGGTGAGCTCAAATCGAATCTGGTCATTACCCTGAAAGAAGAGAAGAAGAACTTGAAGGCACGGCCAAATGCCCCACGTCACAGATTCTCACATTTAGACATTCTGGGTGCCAGCCATTTTGCACCTGCCCCATGTTTTGGACTGGCAGCTGGTTCAGTGCTCCGTGGGTGGGAACAGGCTCAGGCCAGCACCTCACACGAAGCTCTACTGAATACGAACACATAAAGATGTCTTTGATTGCGAGTTGGAGCCTGAGCCCACCCAGCCCAAGACTGTCTACTGTGTAGGGAGGAGCTTTGGCTCAGTTCTGACCACTTCCCTCGCAGAGGGTCTGTGGTGGGGAGGGGAAGGGAAAGGAGTTTGTAAGCCGCTCTGAGACACCTTTGGGTAGTGAAGGGTGGGGTATGAATCCAATCTCCTCCTCCTCCTCCTCCTCCTCAGTGGAAGAGCCTCTGCTTTGCTTGCAGAAGGTCCCAGGTTCAACCCCTGGTGTCTCCAGCTAAAAGACTCAGGAGGTAGGCAATGTGAAAGTCCTCTGCCGGAGACCCTGGAGAGCTGCTGCTAGTCTAAGTAGACAATATTGACCTCGATGGACCCCAAGCGTCTGGTTCAGTATCAGGCAGCTTTATGTTTGGGCCGCTTCCAACATCTGCTCTCTAAGACCCCTTAACTTCAAGAGCCAAGGCCTGCATGCGGAGCTGTCCAAACACAAAGCTGGTGCCCTACCACTGAGCCAGGGCCTCTGCAGCTCATTTGCACAGATATCTGGCCATTTCAGGATGAACGTATGAAGCCTTGTGACACAAATTTAGGCCCTTGGTCCATCTAGCTAAGTACTGTCTGTTCTGACCGGCGGCAGCTCTCTGGGCTCCCAGGCAGAGAAAGGCCTTTCCCATCGCCTACTCTGAAAGATCCTTTCCGTTGGAGGTGCTGGGACTGAACCCAGGACTCCCTGTTGCGAAGTCACAGTCCCTCCCTGACTTCTTTCTCCTGCTTTAAAGTTTCTAGTCCTGAACGCGATTGCTGAGAAGAGGGGGAAAGCATGCAGGGAGGGAACAAAGCTTATTCATGGCATATCTGCACACCTCAAAGCCCAGCGGCCTCCTCTGTGAAACACACACATTTCCCCAAGTCGTTTTGTGCTTTTCAGATTAAACACAGAATGTTTCAGGTTTGTATAGGATGGACATGCAATCAGACAAGCCTTTGACATTTGCACAATTTATTTAGCCAGATTCTGCTAGTGGAGAGGAATGGGAGACAGCTGCTCACAGCACAAGAGCAAATGGAAATGTTCATTCAACCATTTTCTGAAATTTCACCCACCACGCCCACACTCTTCCAAGCACATCTCTCCGGCCACAGGGCCTAGAATCTTAACCTCCCAAAACCCAAGCTGAGATTTGCAGAATTTCAGAGGTGAATTAATGGATTTGGGCATCTACAGATCTTCTGCTGCCGTTTCTGAAGAGAACAAAATGCACGCTGCCTTTGGGAAAGGAAAAGGCTTGTAAGAAGCCAAGGGTCTCCTTCCCTCCTGCATGTAAAACTAGGGAAGAGATTTGTGTTTTAATGAGAGCAGTAGTAGATGGGCTGGGGGGGGTGACTAATGACATCAACAAGCAACAAGAGACACCCGACAGTATCTTTCTCTAATTAGCCTTCTTCTCCGTGCACATGTAATGCCTTGCCCATCTGCTTACCATTATTGCAAAGGCAAATACTGGCACAAAGCCATCCTGTAGCTCTTTCATTCAGCCTGCAGGCTAAAAAGCCAGGGTTTTGGGGCGAGATCTGTCTGAGACAACCAGGTGAATACATTGCCCCAGCCTTCTGAACCAGCCCAGAAAGAGGCACAGCATGTGGCACTGGGAGCACAGGATTCAGCTCCCTGAAACTGGCAGCATTCACAGTCCTTTAAAAAGTTCTAGACCTGAAGGAAGCAAATAAAATAAAATAAAATACAGGGGCACTGGCTGCTGCCAGAGGGCTGGTATAATGTAGCAGCTGGAAAGAAAAAGAACAGTGTGCGGCAGCTGCGAAAGCAAATGAAGCAGACTATCTGAGCTTCCTTTTGGTCTTTAAGATTCTAGTCCATGGGTCCCCAACTTTTCTTAGGCACATTGGGAATTCTGACACGTCATGGTGGGCACAGCCACAAAATGGCTCCCACGGGAGGCACAGCCAGCCACAAAATGGCTGCCGCCGCTCGCCTTCAGCCACACAGTGGAGCTCCTGGTGCTGTGCTGGCAGCTGCTGCCAATGCGACATTTTAAAAAATCTGCCGAGCCAACCAAATCTCCGAGAGGCCGTCAGAAGCCCTGCTGGCCCCACCCGCTTCCTAGAAACACTTAGGGGCAGTGTTCCCTCTAAGCTGAGTTAGTGTCAGCCAGCTCACAGTTTTTTAGCCTCTGGCTCACACGTTTCTGTCTTAGCTCAGGAAGGATGGCTCCAGAGCAACCTACTAATTTATGCAGCAGCGGAATCTCTTGCTCACAACTTTAATGCCAGCAGCTCACCAAGTAGAATTTTTGCTCACAAGACTCCACAGCTGAAAGGGAGCATTGCTTGGGGGGTGACGGAAAAGGTCTCGCCAGGCACCCACAAACAAAGATATGCCCGAAAGGGCGCAAGTCGAAGGGCCGCGGTGTCCCGGATGGGTATTGCAGGCAGCTCCCAAGGCCCAGTATTTGGGAGAATCTACCACTGTGTGGTAGCAGCACTCTCATCCTCCCCTCTCCCTCTGTGGGGGTGGTAGCGTGAGAAGGTCAGACCACCCATCCTCCCTCCCTTGTAGCACATTCTCATTTTCTTCTTCCTCCCAACCTCCTCTGCCAAACAGGCCTTCAGTCACCCTCCGTTAGAAGGGCAAAGGGGGTGGGTGGACTTCCACCCTACCTCAGCATTAGCTGTGACTGGATTAGAGGATGCTTGTTGTGTCTCTGGGTGAGCCAAAGCTTTCTTCAATTAGAAGGCATGCCCTCACAGCATTTTTAATTGGCTAAAATGGCATCGGCAGCAACAGGTAGGCCTCGTGGCTTAACACCCAGTTTGGGCCTCCTACTTCGCTGATCTGGCCACACTGATTCACACTTCGGAAACTTTAAGACTAGACTACCGCAATGCACTCTATATGGGGCTCCCCTTGGAGACCACAACGAGTACAGCATAGCCATTCATGCGTTGCCTCGATTTTGGAGGTGTGATCATGTTACTCCAATTTTAAGAAACCCTAATGCTTCTGGGTACCATTCAAGTTGCCACCTTTAAAGCCTTACACAGCCTGGAACTCATATATCTGCTATATATATATATCCTGGCCTGCTCCTCATACAGCTCCTTCCTGGCTGCCCCACCCCTCAGCTCCACCACAGCACCATGTCGCCCATCTTCTGCTGTGGCTCTAGCCCTCTGGAATGCCTTTCCTGAGGTCAGGATGGCACCCATGTTAGCTGATTGGAGAAGGTTATATAAGGCCCCGGTCACACAGGCCGGATATCGCGCGGGGGGGAGGCGTGGCTAATTGCCCCAGCGCAGTTTGATCCACAATTACGCTATCAGACACAGAGGCGGCACACCACGGGTCCTTCCCTTGGCGCTGGTGGGTAAACGAGGGACCGGAGGAGAATGCCGTGCGCCAGCGCAATCACACCACGGGAGTCTGGAGGCAGCCCGTGGAAAAACGTTTACGAGGTACTAGTTTTTTAACTTACATCGTCGGCGGTAAGCCACAGGTGCGCTCCACTTCCCAGATGTTGGGGTGTGATTCGGCCCGGATAATCTGCCCACCATCCGTGCCTCTCCCGCGGCAACTTTGCTGTGTGACTGGGGCCTAAGTCTGCTTTATTTAAAATACTAGCCTGATACCCGTGCTTCGCTACGGTATTTAAGTTTGGTAAATCCAGTTATAATACTGATGATGTGAAGTTTGAAATGTGACATCTGTTGTAGGAATTCTAATGGAGAAGATTGTAGTGTAAGAAATGAAGTACATACATACTTGTTTTTCCTCTACTGAAGGACCTATCTGTAGACCACATTGATGGTTCTGCCCTCAGGTGCTAGGATCACCAGGCTGCTTGGTGAGCTCACTCTCGAGCAGGCAAGTGGTGATGTGGTGGACATTTCTTCAGGTTCGTGAGAGAGGTATGCATCGAAATGGCTCCTAGAAAGGTCCTTTACTATCTCCCCATAAACATTCATTAACTCAATTGCCATGCTGGCTTTTTTGAAAAATGTCTGTTCAGAAGTCGGGAATGGTTGATTTCTGTAACTGTCTTCAACTGTCTGCAGTCTCTTCCAAATGTGTTTTTACCTCAGAACACTGAGATCCACAGCTGAGCAATCAGAGGGAGGTGGGTGCAAGCAGGCAGGTTTTACCTCAGAGCTCTGAACTACACAGTTGACCAATTGGGAGAGGGGGCAGGCAAGGAGGCAGCAGCCTGCCAGGCACATGGAAAATAATTGGGGAAACACATTTTGCCCCTTTTTTACACCCTTAGGGGTCACGTTTATCAGAAATCTCTTCATGGGGGGGGTGGTTTGACGTCATGGTAGGAATGCACTCCCCTTATTTTGGGTTTCTTGGTGCAGGGGTTTGGCCTGGGTATTGAATTTGGGGGGGAGGGCATACCCCCTGTTTTGTTTTGTTTACAAAAATGCTTCTCATTTATGTTATATTTTAGAACTGGGGCATAACTACATATTCAAAACACCATCCAAGCAATCAGATATTAAGCAAGTTCATATGAACCAATTTTCTAGAACCCACATTGTGAGAAGTTAAATAACCTAATAAAGAAAACCAGTTTTCTACAAATTTGGGGTATATTTCCATTGTGGGTGGGAGTGTGGCTAAACTGGGCCAGCAGCACCGCTAATATGATCCTGCTTGGGCGGCGTCCCTGTTGGATTAAAGTTCCCTGGTCCTGCTCCTACACCTGACAAACACCCGCCTGTCTGGTGTTGGGAGGGATTATGTTTAAAGGCATCGCGGAGGCTGGGCCAGCAGCAGGGCTAAGGCAGTCTTG